CGGGAGAGGGATTCAAGGGGTGAAGTATGAGTATTTAGAAGTCCTTGTAAAAAGAAATCGAATATCTCCCTCAGCGGATAGCAAAGTATCTCGATAGGTGGTGGTGGTGGTGGTACGGAAGACTCGTAAGCTGGCTTCAGACAGGTCTCGTCTCTCGTCAGGCTGGTGGGTTTGATGGGGATGGAGATGGAGACCGACTGAGCGAGGTACGCCACGGGCCCAGGCGCGGTTCGGCGCTGTCGAGTCGGTCGGTACTTGTTCCTGCACAAAAGTAGGTGAGAATCTTGTGGGCTAGGTATTGCAGGTAAGAAAAGAAGAACGAGGCGCAGCTCCCGTCCGAAGCCAGCAGTACTCACTACTCGGTACTTTGCTCAGCTTCCTCCTCGCGTCGGTTGTTGATGATGATGATTGATTGATTGATTAAATGATTTTGATGGGGTGGGTTCAGTCGACGCGTCGCATCGGTCCACAAATCCACAGGGCGATTAAAAGGCTTGTACCTACCTAGGCATGTCTCAGGGCCTCTCCCAGGTCCCCTCTCTCAGGGCGTTCCAGGGCTCTCTCGGCGTGCGAAGCTCCCAAAAAAGGCGTGACAGGGCAGGATCACCTCAAACACCCCTCCGGGGCAGTGATACCTAGCCAGGTAAAGAGGAGCCATTTTGGCCTTTGCTCACTGCCCGTAGCTGGTGAGCCACTCCCTCGTCAACAAAACACTAACTGAGGGGGGGCGTGTCAGAGTCACATGGCCAGTGGGTAATTTAGCTTGAGACGCGTGAACACCACACCACTTAGTAAACACTAAGTGAGCGTCCCACTAACTTACGATTCATAAGGTAGCACCCTCAACGAGGACGGTCTAACTATCAAATACTATAGACACCTCTTATACCTTATTCCTAATTCTACCTTACTATATCGATGCTATTTATGCGGAAGGGTATTTTAATCTATTAAATCGTATAGAGGAGCTACTAGGTAGTGAAATATAAACTAGATCTATGACTTAGCCTACCTATTGAACAGTCTCTTAGAAGCCCTTAGAGAATTCCTAGAATATTTCGAAGCCATAGCTAGGTTAAATAAGGGACTAGGTGATCGTTAGGCTAAATATCCTCGAGGGTAAATAAAACGTATCAGACTATATCCGAGCTAGAGTTATGAATAACTAGTTAAAATATAGGAGGTTATCAGCAGGCGTGGTGATAGCTTGCTAGATACTAGGTCTGCTATTGTACGGGTGGCTCGGCTAAATTGCCATGGCCACGTAATTCTGACACCCCTGCAGTTGGTCTCGTTGGAGCCACCACCACCAAAGTTACCACGCCTGCCCTGCCCGCCCGTGGAACCACCACCACGAACCACCTGCTTCAGCCGCCCTTTCTGCCCCTGGCGCAACCTGGCATCTTGATCTGCGACAACCTTAACGACTCTTACATGTCAATTTTTCCCCCTACCGCATAATAACACACCTTTTTCGATCCCTTTTCCCCCCAGTTGTATCTCAAAACTTCGAAAGGACACCCTCATCGCACCTCTCTTCCTCTCCTTTACGCCGTACCGACGCCGCCGCCACCGTCGCACCCCCACCCGCCCTCTTTCGTACTCCGCGCCCATTCCCTTGGTTGAAAGAAGCATCGACTTGCGTTTTCTTTCCTCTTCCGACAAAGGCACCCAGTCTCTCGTTTAGTACCACTTCCAGCCAAATCTCAACGGTCCTGTCCAAGCTGCTGCAGTCCACCTCGCTCCCTGCTTACCTCGAGCCGACAGCTCTTCGAAATCGATCAGCCGTGTCTGTTTAGAGATCTGAGACGGGATTTCAGAAGTACACTCTAATAAATGCACGCGATTCCAGCAACGGCAGAGCAGTGAACCTCTCTCCTTATTTACTCTTTTCGATCTTTCGGAAACTCGAAGAAGAACAACCTGCCATCCGCGTCTCGAAAACCCGTTTTTCCAATTGGTGAGATCGGAGTCCGTTAGTGACACGATATCCAATTTGAAAAAGGTTAGTGAAGATTGCGACGAGGAGAGTGAGAAGGCAGAAAAAGGTAGAAAGCCAAGATGGGGGACGTATCTGGCGGCCACGATGGCCAGCACCACGTGTCTAACATGCTCGAGGACAAATACATCGGCCTCACCCTAGCCATCGTTTCTACACTCGCAATCGGAACCAGCTTTGTCATCACCAAGAAGGGACTCAACGACGCCGCAGATAAACACGGGTTTGAAGGGGAAGGGTACGCGTATATGAAAACGCCGCTATGGTGGGCAGGGATAGGATCGCTGGTGATTGGCGAAGCCGCCAATTTCGCAGCATACGCTTTTGCGCCTGCCGTTCTCGTCACACCTCTGGGCGCGCTCAGTGTGCTTATTGGAGCCGTTCTTGGAGCCTATTTTCTTGGGGAAGAGTTGGGAGTATTGGGAAAACTGGGATGTGCCATCTGTCTGCTTGGTAGTGCGATTATTGTGCTTCATGCGCCGCCCGACGAGGATATTGAGACAGTGGATCAGATTCTGGCGTATGCGATTAAACCAGGTATGGGAAATCCCCAATTTGGCTCACGCAGAGATAGTGAAACGGGCCTTGCTAATCCATCCCCCGCACAGCGTTCATCATTTATTGTCTGGCAGCGGTTGTCTTCTGCCTTGTCATGATCTATAAAGTTGCCCCAGTGTACGGCAAGAAGAATCCGCTGATTTACATGTCGATTTGTTCTACTGCCGGATCGGTGTCGGTCATGTCGATCAAGGGGTTTGGAATTGCTGTCAAGCTGACTTTCGCGGGGAATAACCAATTCTCACACCCTTCGACGTACGTGTTTATGGTTGTCACGGTCGTGTGCATTCTCACGCAGATGAATTACTTCAACAAGGCGCTCAGCCAGTTTTCGACCTCGATCGTCAATCCCTTGTACTACGTCACATTTACCACCGCCACGTTATGCGCATCATTTATTCTGTTCCAGGGATTCAACACGACGGACGCGACGAACACGCTCTCTCTTCTCTGCGGGTTTCTCGTCATCTTCTCGGGGGTATACCTACTCAATCTATCGAGAGGAGATCCAGATGGCCATCGCTTACTCAATGGGAAAATCCCCGATGAAGATGGGATCCCGACCGACGCTCTAGCCGGCCTACAGACACGACGAAGTATGCAATCGAGAAGAAGCCTGGATCCGCACCGACGAAGTAGCAGCCTCACGTACAGTCCCGGTGGCATGTTATCGGGCGGAAGTCGACACGCGAGTGCGGAGAGTGCAGGTCTCATGCAAAACTACGATGTCGAGCACGGTGCTTTTGGACTGTCGGATCTCGTGGAGGATCCCGAAGAGTTGGCGACGTCGAGTCGAAACGGCAGTCCCAGAGCCAGAGGCGAGCCAGTGACGAGAATACGCGACAGGCCTCATCAAAAGAGCCTGGATCGGTGACATTGAGCGAACCCTTTGGGGAGGCTTTTGATTTGTGCAGTCTCGACTAGACTTGGAACAAGAAAGTTTTGATTGTGTCGATATCCATGCATGGGTAACGGTTCATTAGTGATGAAACAAAGCCAGCGTTTGACTGGAATAAAGAGCATGACCTAAGGAAGGAAAGGACTGGGACGGCAGGGGAGGAGTGATTCAGGCACTAGCTGGTCGTCAAGGCTCGGGGGTGGGATTCTGTATATTGTCCATGATGCAGCAAAGAACTCGAGCTGAATGTTATGTCTTTTCTCTCCTTTTCCCTCTCAGTCTTTTACTATCTCGTTTTATTTTGTTCTTCTCCCTGGCTGACCGAGTCGCAGGTAGGGAAAGGAGCGAGGAAAATACTTGTACTGGTGTACTTGGTGCTTAGTAGTAGGGATAAAAGAAAGAAAAACATTGGGCCAGGTTCACTCACTTGTTGTAGTTGAGTGCGATGGTTCGATGTGTGTGACTGCTGTTGAATTGTGGCGAGCACGTGCTCAGCCTTGGATGCAGCCTGTTGCTTGTTTGCCTCTGGGTTCCTCTGAGGTCATTTTCCACTTTTCCGCTTTCCATCATTTCCCGCCTTTCACTTTTGCTGGGCGTCCATCCACCATTCCGTTCGCACTGCTATAATTCCTACTCCTACTTATCCATGGCTAGAAAAGGCTGAAATCGATTTACAACAAACAGCCCCAGTCGGGCGAGCCATTCACTTCATCATGGCGCCCTCATATCCCGACCCAAGTCTGAAAGCAAGCGGCTCGCCACGCACAGGGCCACAGAAAGGTACGGCCACCGCCTCACCACAAACACCCACCCCCAACTCCCCATGCGTCGCCCATAACAAACAAAATCCCTTGCTTCTGATGTGTTGGTGTTTGCATCTCTGGAGACGGTGGCGCATGGTGCAGATCGATGGCTTTCCTTGCGTGTTTCCATTGTGACATTGTGTCCACACCTTGTCATTCCTTTTGCTGCATAATTTCCATGTCCACGCCGTCGCTCAAACCCGTGCGTCTGACTGGGGCAACCGCAATCGCCTCCCCTGATACGATGAGCCATGCACGTGCGCTATTGCCCGTTTCCTGTCGCTCAAGCACTTTCGAGGGTTGTCCGTCACGCGACTCTGGAGCACACGACAGTGGGATGTTGTGGGAAACAAAGAGTCTCCATTGAACAATCGGGTTCCAGCGATTACGTGGTGGTACCTGGCATTGTGTTTGCTTTTCTTTTCTTTTTTTCCTGTTTGGTATCTGCCGCAAGATAAAAAGGCTCGTGGTCAGAAATGATGTACTCTGTCAAATCTCTAATGCATTCTTAGGTGTGACCATCTTCGACGAGCCAGAGCATATCCCCGAGCCCAATATCAATGTCTTCGCAGATGCCCAGGGTAATGCTGTAGGAACATCCCCCACGCTTGTCGCTTCGCACAGCCCCAAACTTCACCGCGCCAGTATTTCAGGCAAGAAGTTGACCGGACGGCCCGCTCTGCCTTCTTCGAATTCCCACTCTTCTCATCTCTCCCCTGCCGGTGCTCCCCTTAACAGACCCATGTCGTATTTCAGCCTGGACGATAACAACCCCCTTGATTCATGGTCGGCCGGACCAGGTACCACGAGTCCAGGAACGACAGCAGAGAGCAAAACGCCCGACCTCCGCACTATCTTGACCCAAGTTACCGACTGGCTTCAGGATGAAAAGGCAAAGCGACAGAAGCAAAGACATCGTCGCCATCACCATAATCACAACAAGCCGCAGAAGACATCCGACGATCAAAGCGACAACCCTAGATCCCATGAAGTCGCCCCTGACGATGAGCAAGACATGTCCCTACAGAGGCTTGAGAACATCCTCCAAAACTTCTCCTTCACCAATACTTCAAAGCTTCTCCACAAATCTTCAAGCTCCATTTTGAGAAGAGGATCCCTCGGCAAGAAATACAAACAGTCTCCTCGCTCCGTTCCAGCTTCATCAGACACCGAGTTCTTTGGCGAAGATATCTTGGTTCCCAATGTCGAAGCGAAGCTGGATAATACCAAAACGATGGCTTTCACTGGCGGTTCGGCAGATGTGGATACCAGCGATAGTGCGAGGAGGCAGGACTATGAGCATTGGGTGACGTTCAAAAAGGATATTGTCCGCTTGACGCATACACTTAAGCTTAAGGGCTGGCGCCGCATCCCAATTGATAGAGCTGCCGATATTGATGTTGCGCGTCTGAGCGGTGCCCTTACCAACGCTGTCTATGTTGTCCATCCTCCCAAAGATATGTCCGAATACGATGCCCACAACCCTTCCGACCCTTCTGCCCCGCCCGTCCCTGTCTCCCGACGCCGCCCTACATCTCTTCTCCTTCGTATCTACGGCCCCCAGGTTGAACATCTGATTGACCGAGAAGCCGAACTTGGGATCCTTCGTCGCCTTGCTCGAAAAAGTATCGGACCTCGCCTCCTGGGGTCTTTCGAAAACGGCCGCTTTGAGGAGTTTCTCAATGCCAAAACCCTTACGGCGGAGGATCTGCGTGCTCCCGAGACCTCGAAACAAATTGCCAAACGAATGCGCGAGCTTCATGAAGGGATTGACTTGCTTGAATCTGAACTCGCTGCAGGCCCCGCGGTCTTTGTGAACTGGGACAAATGGGTCGACCGGTGTGAGAAAGTCATCTCTTGGCTCGACGAACAGGTCCATCAGGTGGACAAGGAGGTCGCAGACGGAACAGCAAGGCGAAAGTCGAGGGGGAATGCGCGCTACGTCCGACGAGGGTTGATTTGCGGTGTTGAATGGCCCGTATTCCGCAAAGCCTACGACACATATCGACAGTGGCTAATCGAACAATGTGGTGGCGTCGAGGGAATCCGCGACCTGCTCGTCTTCGCACACAATGACACTCAATACGGCAACCTTATGCGCCTACAACCTTCTGGCACGTCGCCACTCCTCCGACCATCGAATCAACACAAGCAACTCGTCGTCATCGACTTTGAGTACGCAGCACAAAATCCTGTCGGGTTGGAATTCGCCAACCATTTCACCGAGTGGTGTTACAACTATCACAATCCCCCCGACAAGAACTTTCAATGTGACACGCGACGATACCCGAACGAGCAGGAGCAACACAGATTTGTGAGGAGTTATGTCATGCACCGGCCGCAGTTCAACCCCTCGGCGAGTGCGACGCCAAAGATGGAGGCCCGGGAGAAGACCAATATCAGCGATTTCATGCTCGATGCTCGAACCCCAGGAGGCGGAGTTCCGAATGCTTGGGGAGGGAGTAGCGGGTTTGAGGGGCCCGCCGAAAGTGACTACGACAAAGAAGAGTCCGAACGGGAAAGGGCCCAGGAAGAAGAAATCAATCGGTTGTTGCAGCAAACGAGGCTGTGGCGGGTTGCCAATTCGGCACAGTGGGTGGCATGGGGGATCGTGCAGGCCAAAGTGCCGGAGCTGGACGCAATGCAGGAAAATAAGGCGACGTTAAAGACAATGGGCCAGCGCATCCAGGAGAGGAGAAGGAGTGTGACGGAGATGATATCCGCAGGAGAGAAGAAGGTTGTCGAGAAGATGAAGGGCTTGGTGAACAGGGAGGGTGGCGACGACAAACATCAGCAGACCGAACATGCGTATGCAATGTCCGACCCCCTGACTGAAGAGGAGCAACGGATCCAATTGGAGAGTCACTGGGATCGACCAGAGGGAAGAGCACAAGAGGAGGCACACCAGGAAGGCAATGGAGATGTAGTGGTCAAGCACCCAGTGGACGCTTCTGACCACAGTTCCACTTGCGGTACCACCACGCAAAAGCACGCCGAGGAGAAAAAGACCGACGTCGAGCAAGCCGTCACCCCTAACGGAGGAGCTAAGTCTGACCGATCACAACATCACGTCGACCCTCAACCTCCAACCGAACCCCAGCACAACAACGACCCTACAGACACGACATCGGGACGCGAAGACGGAGCGTCTCACGCGGACGGTGACCCCGATGCTGGTGGTGACGAACCCGACGAGCCCGAAGACGAGTTCGACTACCTCGCCTACGCCCAAGACCGCGCCATGTTCTTCTGGGGCGACTGCCTCCGCCTCGGCCTGGTCAAGGAATCAGACTTGCCCCGGGATCTCGTCCAACGGGCCAAGATTGTGCCGTACTGAGTGAGAACGTACCGAGCATGTTAGTTTTGGGTTTTGTGTTCCTGTTACCTATCTTACTGATCTATTCAACCTCGACCGCCGTGTGGGCTATTCTTCTTCTTCTTCTTCTTTTTTTCTTGTTGGTTCTTCTTGTAAGGAAATAGTGTTGGCAATATTTAGCAGATCAGAGGACGTGACTGAGAAATTCTTCAGAGGCGATCGAGCACGGTGTCCAGGTGGAATGGTAGCTGGCTAGCTTACGGGTTCAACACCGCCCAGCCGAGAAGGGGTGTGGGAGGAGGGAAGCCCAATGCAAGAGGAAGCAAAGCAGTACATATAACAGCACACAGGTGGTGGTGAATACCACAACGATGATGATGATGATGATGACAACAACAACAACAACAACAACAACAACAACGGGACATGTATGTTTTTCAGGGATGCCATCATCTACTTTCCTGTTGATACCTACATACCTAGATAGATCGAGAGATACCACCCGTCTTTTTGCTGTTCTGATATCGTCTGGCCTAGTCTCTTCAAGATCAAGTCAAAATGAAATAATTACCTGGGTAAATCTTTCCGCAGAGAAAGGGCAGAGTTGTTGTGACAGATGTCCATGTCCATGTCTATTCTTGTATATTACACGGCAATATAAATTAGTACCTAATACGTACTCGATATAGTACACACGCTCCGCTGTCTCTACCTCGGTACGTATGTGTATAAATCTCTCGCTCCGTGGTACATGAAGCCTGTAAATCGGACTTAACGTTCGGTGTTGAACAATCGACGGGTGAACAACTAGGCTGTGGACATACAATACATCCCCTTCTATCCTTCCCGCGACACGCCTGAACATTTCGACACAGGCCGCTTGCACATGTCCAGCACTAGCGTACACTCTTTGCTTGCCGCTAGATCGTGGGTTGGATAATCTTTGCTTACTGAAGCTGACGAGAGCGTGTCCTCCGTTAGGGCAGCCAGTGGGTCGTGCTATGCTTGGATCCTTTGTAATGCTTTCAAATGGTCAGATTTTATGTCATCTCTCTGCTCGAGCCGGCTTCCTCACCCTTCCTAGATGGGTAGAGTGTAAGAGGTAGAGAGCCTTCTTGATGGAATGACACTGTCAGGAGAGGTCAGCAACTCAAGCTATGCTCTTGAGCACTGTGAGGTGAGGGCTGCTAGCCGTTCACGAACAGTAGACTGTGTGACTCCATAGAAGAAGTACCAGGTAACAGCTTGGGTCTAGCTCGTGCGCCTTATAACTTGATCTTCACGCCGCTCTTGTCCAGTCCTAGAGCTACCCCAGTGACCATCACGGCATAAGCTATCAATAGGCCCATTGCCTCTAGTGGAGGCATATCGAGCGTGTTGAAAGTCAGATTGACCAGACCCGTCAATAGATTGGCAATCAGAAAGACGACGAGCCCATTGTTGTTATATACCGCCAAAATGCGGCTAGTTGCAGATCGAACCCTGTCCTTGTCTTCCGGATTGTAGGAGAATATTGGCCCGAAGTCTTCCACCAGACCAAACAGGAAGAGTTGGGCATTGTTAAACGCCACGACCCACAGCACGTAAGGAAGGTTGGCGAGGCGGCGGGATACTGTGAGATTGAACATGTAGATGCTCGTCGTTGCCCAGTACAGGAAACCATAGACGAGAGACATGACGAAAAGGCCCCTGAGGACCGATTTTCTCTCACGACGCGTGACCTCGCTCGGGCTCGACTGCTTCGTGACCTTGGAAACTGGTTCGTTAAACCGGACCAAGAGTATTCCAGTTCCACGCCCTGCGAGGAAGATCGCCAGGTATCCTGTGAAGGAGAACACTCCTTCACGATTTTTCGACAAGAGCCCGGGTCCTCGCGGAGAAATTAGAATATACGACAGAAGGTCTGTGTTGTCAAGGACCAGTTCGTAGACGACAGCCAGAGTGAGCGCAAAGACCTCGTAGGACTTGAATGCCCTGCTTAGGCTGTCAGAGATCTCTACGAAGGGTGGAAGTAATGCCAGGGTGAAAAAGAAATTCCAGTGAACTCCGTATTCCGTGACATGCTCGGCGTAGTCAAGTCCTTTGACGCTGTAAAGACGAATAAAGCCGAGGATGAGTAAAGGGATAGAATGTCGGAAAGCTTTGATGAAACGACTGCCAAAGTTGGAGGAGGTGGTTTGTGGAGAGGCCTGGTCACTGAAACGGACGCGGACGACAGCTCGAGCAGAGACCACACCGGCGGAAAAGACGAAAGAGCCAACGCCTAGATCCATGAGCGACGTGCCCCATGTCTCCACTTTGGCGTATCGACGAGGGAAGATGGGAAAGTCGACAGCTAGGATAGCCAAACAGGTCACAACGAGCATGGAGCCTCGGTAATGAGTGAGGAATGGTCGAACGGGGAGGATCAGAGAAGCATTGGAAGTGCTAGTCTCGCTGCCACTAACAACCGAAGGATCGACATTGGCTGGTTTCCTTGGTTTCCTAGCCGATGAGTTGGCTGAACCGTCCGAAGAAGTGGTCGACTGCCCTCCAGTCTTGAGGAATGCAAGGAGCACCGCCGGCGTGATGAGAAAGACGTTCAAGGCCAGCGGCGCTGATGAATAGAGAGTGATGGCGAACAAAATAGCGCAGACATTGAGCAGGAAGTCGGCGAGTAAAGCGACCGGAGAGGACGGCGTGAAGAATGAGTAGTTCTTCTGCAGAGCAGTCCAGAGAAAGACGGCGGCCTGCGAATATCAGTCATGGTTCGTGAGTGGAGGCCGCAGATGGAGCTTTGCAGAGGAATCATACTGCGGCAACAAGCGTGACCAAATTGATCTCGGTCAAGGAGCTTCCGTAGAGGTTGGACACGAAGGCTTCCTTGCGAGCCTTGTAAGAAGCTGCTGCAGTCGTGGCCATGGCAGCAAGTCTAGAGTTTATCTCATTGTGAAGGGATTGAGGGAGCGACTTGTGGAATATGGTGTGCGTGCGGAGGTTGAGAGAGAGAGGAATTGGAGGTTGATTTGTGACAAGGTGGCAGCAAATCTAATGAAATGACAGGGGCGCAGGTGCGTGACTGCAGCCTTTAAAATTCATTTCAAATGACACCGTCTTTGGCATGTCATCATTATCATTGCAATTGGTTGAGATTCTATATTGGCAAACACCTCGACTGATGGGGGTCCTTTCCATTAGACGAGTATTGAATCCGCATACAGATGCTCCTTACTCACGTCGAGCAAAATCAGATATTGCTGCGCTACCGCCCATCGGGAAGACATTGTTTCCAACACCTTTCTGAGAACATGGTAGGCGTCTCCCATTTCCCTTACTCCTGTTTCTTGGGCAAGCCATGCGTATATAGTCGCCGCAAAATATAAACAATCACCAAGCAAAGGACTTGCTGCCGCAGGGTTCGATAGCATGCCCATGTGCCACAGCTGGCTGAAACGGAGTACATCTGATGCAACCGACTTCAGCCCAGCGATTGCAATTGTCTGCATCTCAGTCTCTTCGACAGTATGGAAGCCGTGATTGGACTCGGTACAGGCAAAGGGGTCACACAGGTGCATGAGGCTGCTGTAACAGAGGGCCAAGGGTGTTCCATAGCGCTCGGGAACGTGATGGACATCGTTGGGAAGTAGGTTTGCCAATGCCTGCAGTGTCCGATGTAGTTGGATTGCTTCTGAAAATCGCATGGGGGCATCAAGCATTTTGTCATTGAGGAGTCGGACGAGCCTCCCCATGAGGTGCGTCGCTTGGCACGTTCGTGTAAACGCTCCGGCTTTGACGTTGGTGGGCGAGGTCACGTAAAGGGGCTCACTTGTCGTTATGTGGCCTTCGTCCCAGAGGTCGTCGTCTGCCGGCAAGGTTTCATTGAGGACAGGGTCATCGGTAGACAAAGGGTGACCTGAGGAACCCAGATTGACATACCTCCACCAAAGGTCAGCTTCAGATCCGTATATGGGTTATAGTTGCACATACCTATCCAGCAGCATTGTTGCCCACCACGTCCTTTTGAACTCTTCTAGCTCCGCCCATGATCCCGATTTCTTCTTCAACATTTGAGGAGCACGTTTTCTGTCGTTGAGGCCCAGAGCATGTCCTAGCCTTGCGCAGTGTCCAGTACTTAGGTAAGCAGCTGGATAGACCGCATGGCCGAGCTCGTACGTCGCGATCAAGATGTTTGCTTGCAGCAGTTGTAAGGACATCAATCCACTCGATTCCACCATCGTGGCGTAGCTCTTGGTGAGATTGTACAGCGGGGATCGAATACTCTGGGAATCCCCCTGGGGAACTTGGAGGACCAGTTTCATGGACAGCAGGAGGAGTGCTAGGTCGAGAGTGAGCTCCAGAGCGGGATTGGACAGCGTCAGCTGCATGCGCTTCTTGGAGATGAAAGGAAGCCAGGTGTGAATGTTGGCAAAGTACCGGTCGACAATGTCCTGGATGTCCAGGATCGAGACTCCCACCGTCGCCGCAACCTCTGGGGGGACTGCTATGTTGGGTCGAGGAATGGTCATCTGCGCTTCGGCATAGACTTCGGCGTCGAGGAAAAAAGCAGGTGGGAAGGTGACATTGCTGTCGGTCGCAAAGCCAGCCTCGCTCCCCGTGCCCGGGCTCCTGCTGAAAGATCGCATCGGTCCATGCCAGCCCTCGGAGCGTCGACCTTCGAGTCGGGCTTCCAGGTCAGCAATTTTCTGTCGCATCATGGCAAAGTCTTCAGAGGTGGGAATCGGGGCGGTCTCCGAATAATCACAAGGTCGGGACATGCGAGTGCACAACGAGCAGCTGGGCAACAACTTGTCGCATTTTCTCTTTTGCTTTCGACAGGATACGCAGGCTTGAGGGGCTTTATCGGGTTGGTCTGCCGTGTCGACGTCCATGGTGATGCACAGGTCTTTGCAGAAATCTGTTCGAGCCCAGCGCAGCGAAGTAAAAGGTGGGATGGTGAGACAGCTGGCGGTTCATGCGGCCGCATTGGAAAGGGGTGATCCGCCTTGTCGTTTATAGACTGATCGCGAAGCCCGCGATATCCC